CGCTAATGATGTTACTTGTGGTGTTGATGAAAGTACATTACACGTTATTGATACAACTATTGGCACAAATGAATGTACATTTTCTGTTAATGAACAGCAAAAGGTGTATAAGTTTAAAAAGACGTTTTCTAGAGCGCCTTGCCACGAGTTCAGCAGAATCTAAAACATTTCACACCCTTAATTTCTTAAAGTATTAGAATAATTGTGAATAATGTTTATAAATTACTTTATAAACAATAGGCTTTAGTCCTTCAAACTGTTGACAAAAAGTACTCAGAACTGTGTACCGTTACTTTATCCAAAACAAACAATGCTCGCAATTCTTAAGCTTTCCTGATTAATCTACTTAAGATTACCATTATTAATTTGGAAAGAAACAACGCAGGAATCGACGTCTTACAACTTTGAAGTCAGAAATTTCTGGTTAGTCGTGAAGTTATGACAAATATTTAATATATAATTGTCTTTGGTACAGTGTTAATCTTTCTTAAATCAGCCGACAAAAGAACAACATTTGTTCAATTATTCTAAGATTACTGCACCGAATTAGCGAATCAAGATTTATTGGACAATTTGAGTCCAACCTTTTTTTCATGATCCTGTTACTAAAGCAAGTTATGGCTACTTTGGTATCGCATGAGGATGCTGAAGTCTCTATTTTATCTTAGTCAAACAAGCGTTCTGCGCACAGCTGCGCCCCATTTTTCTTTCTATCTTTTTCTCCTAATATTGAGGAAGTTCTTTGCTCTGTGAGGGGTTGTGTTGAGGTTTTCTTGGTCCCTTCTCATCGACATTTTCCTGTTATGTTGTGATTTGAAAGTTTTGTTAGCAACTGTGCAATGTTCTTTTCTTTATTCTCTATTCAAACGTCAACTATAACCTAACATGTACGATACCAACTCGATCATGGATTGGCGGACATTACACATACTACGATGCCACTAAAAAGGCATTTAGGAAGCGTTTCTCTTAATTGTTGAACGCATTTTGTGACGAACTGAATTGTGTTTTCGTTAAAGCAAGTAGGTGTTTCCTGAGCTTTGTTGCTGGGAGTCAGGCGTTTCTATCTGCGTCCATCTGGATGGAACTACGTCATTGCTTCTTCCTCTTCCGTCATTCAGCTTACTTTCGTACTTTGTGATCATCGCCACCAATTTTAAGAGAGTTTGTCGACTTTCCCGGCACGTTAATAAATAAAAATCATTAAAATCACCGAAAATCCAGATGAAAAATATTGAATATTGGTCATGTTTCAAGTGGTCAATGACAAATGGTTACTTTGGCTGTTCAAGCAGTTTAATCATTCTTTCATGTTACAACATTAAAATACTTTTAATTGTTATTTATAAGAGTCAATGAAGATTATTTTAGAGTTTACAAACTTGTGTAGAGGTTGCAAAGGCTTTATCGTGAGACAAGAGACCATTCATTCGCAGAGTTTTTACGACATGTTATAAAACTGGCTATCTACCAATTTGGTTGTTTCCGAATGAGTGTTCCAAGTGCACGAACCCTTTGCCAGTGTGTTTAATCTTTGTTCTTGTAGCTAGATGGATTCCGTGACGAACTCAATCTTGCAGCCTGTATGTAATATTCATACACAAGCATGTTTTGTTTAGTGAATAGTGTTGTACAGTGTGTGGTCAGTAGAGTATAGTATACATACCTGCGACAGATGTCATGAATAAAGTGATTTTTTTTCATATTCAAACTAGTAATGGTCCAATGGAGAAGGTTTCGTTTACACTTTTTACAAGTTCTTGGACGAGGCATTAGATTTGTGTACAGTAAATAAAAAAAAATTTACGTTTATTGACGTCTTTAATTTCATTATAATTTTTTTCTTTTTTCTTTTTTCAAATCTTAGTCTTCCTGTTGAAATTATTAACAACAACTTCCAGTTTCCAAAAGCAGCATCTTCCCATGGAAGCTTTTTGTCTCTTCATATTTCAAGGACAAATACTCAGAAAATAATAACCTATTTAGGCATTCTGTCCTAACACACATAGATTCAAGTTTTATTCGATTTAGTTCAAAGTGAAGCGTAAGGATTTTGCTGACCGGTATCCGTTACAAAGTTTATCAAACTCGACTAGTCGTACTGCCTCAGTTGGCTGCATCGATCAAACCACATCGACCTATGATATTGGTTTTTATCTATGATATTCTATTACTGTGATATTCTTTGCAAGTGGACTTTGCATCTTTTTATCTGCATTTTTATGGCCTTCAGAACTGCATGACACTGTTTATAACACGTTTACGTTCATATACGCCTATTTCAATAAACGCTGTCATCGCCAAAGGATGCAATAGGCGAAAAGCGATAGAAGATAGGTCATTCCAAAGATCCAAGAATAGCTGGAATGACTTGTGTTTCTGCTTCTCATTCTCGTCCAGAACGAGGATCTTAGTGTTGAGACTGATTCAATATTCTTTGTGTTCAACGAAAACCATTTCCATGTCGCAATGACCTCAGTATCATCTATCGCCTTCTGCGATGACAATGTTTATTGAAATAGGTGTGTATATAAATTGATCATTTCTCTCGTGATTCAACCAGAACGGCTCCAAGCAAGTAGCAATCTTAATTTCAATCATTCAACGCTACAATAACCTCAATAAATTTCCCACGAAATTTTTTGATCGACTGTTAATTAACCATTGTGATATTGTCAGGTTTCTTCGTGCTTTGATTTTGGAATTAATTCTAGAATAATACGATGAATAAATCAACCA